ATAAATTTTTCTACACAGTACAAGTTATTATTTATTCTATCTATACACATTGTGGGTATAGAACCATACATGACTAATTATAAGACCATAATTTTCAGAAAATGGAATTTGAAAATTGGACCCAACTTTTCATTACTTATCAAAAATTTGATATTTTATGTAATGTTCAAATTTTACATGTCTGTTTATGGTCCCAAATAGAACATGGTGGATATAATAGGAATACTTTGTTTTTGAAAAACTATTAAATTTAGCCAGCAAACAATGAAAGAATACAAACATATACATATGTATATGTTTGTATTCCTATATATAAGCATAAATTTCAAGTTTTCTGAAATACTTTACAGCAAATTAAATAATGCACAGGGCCTTAACATATTAGTAGTTATCTAATGTGCACATAATTCACTGTACTGTACATAAGGGTAAAACGAATTACTAATGAGAATTAAACACACGCTGAAGGAAACAACTATAACTAAGATTGAAAATAAGTAATGTTTATAAGGAAACTAATTCTATCAGTATATTTTTAGGAAGCTAATGCAAATTTCTAGGTACCTTTATGTTTCATAGACACTGAAACTGATCTATGGACCCAAGGAATCCATTAATCTACTTATCTACTTGGAAAACACTGGTATAATATACTCATTGGTAAAAAAATTGCCCATCCAAATATAATTCTCCAATAACTGCAAAACTTGGCATGCAGGTCTCAGATATGTATGTAAATTACAGTTGTCATCCAATTGTTTGCCATGTAATGCCACCAGAAAAGCATAAAATCACTATACCAGTATCCTATAAAAAGGCTTGCAGAGCTCACTGTGTTCAGAATTTTCATTATACTGGTTTGCAGTCTTGAGTGCCAGACATGCCTGTATGATGCAGACAAAGATTATGCACAAATGATGGAACTAAAGAAAAGTTGCATCATCAAGCTGAAAGAAGTTTGTCATTTTGCTGAATTGCCCACCATTTGGGCTGTTCTAACCTAACTGTGAGGTAGTGTTGGGAACAGTACATCAAGGCATATATATCTGATGGACAGGTTCTGGATGCTCCAAATACCACTAAGAAAGCTGATCTGAGACAAGCATCAATAACATATTTGTTCACCAAAGACAGGTGGAAAGCCTTACTATATTCTTTCTTTGGTGGCCAGATGGCCGAGCGGTTAAGGTGGCAGCCTACCGTTCTGGGGACCCGAGATCAAATCCAGGCAGGTCAAAAAATCCCCATGAATTTTTTGGTGGGTGGTCCTTCCGGATATGTCAGGCCCGTCCCTCACCACCTCGGCCGCCCCATTGTGGGCCTGGCCAAACCCATAATGGGTTTGCTAAAAGAGGCTCTCTTAGTGCCCACAGGGCAGAAGGAGTTAAAAAAAACTATATTCTTCTGTACCATTGGTATGCAACTAGCATAGCAAATTTGCATACATAGTGATCAGTAAGCATCTTTCCATTAGCACTCCATTGTTGGTTTTGTTTGAAGTGCTGCCATGATAGAAGCTTGGGCTGCTGCAGACTGTCTTTAGCAACAAATCAGTTTTGTTTTGGAACAGATATGTTAGTGTGTGGAGGACCTCTGGCAAGAGTTTCAATTCCATCTTTACTGATGAGCAATGCACTGCCTTCATTGCTGGATGCCATTTTGTGTGAGTCAGTCAGTCATCCCTAGTAGTGGTATGAGAGACATTGATGTTACAATGATACATTTGGGAAATCCTGCACTCTGTTGTGGTGTTTTTGTTACCTCACTTTGCTGGGATCCAATTCAGTGATCTACAAGTGTGAAGGATCTGAAATGGCAGTTGCAACATCTGTGGGCAAATCTGTCATAGGATTGCATATGATGCCTGCAGGCCCGATCACATCAGTGCATCCGGACAGGAGGAGGTCCTACAACGTACTAAAGGATTCTTTAAATTATACTGTTTTTTTTCATGAAATTATTGTTCTTTTGTCACGATATTGTAATCACGTATTACAATCGTCATTATGTTTGCACTAATAGTTTCATTCAATTACAACTCCTCTGATTGGTACATAATTTTTGTCAATGAGTTTATTCAGTCGTGTAATATAACGATTATTCTGCTGTTATGGATGCTATATTGCGTTTTTTTTAATTCGATAATTTATGTTCTGAAAAATTCACATTTTAAGAATAAAATTTTAATTTATGCCAAATTTTATAGTAACTCCTTTATACTAATATTAATTTAGTGGCATAAAAACATTTTGAACATAGTTTTACTAACTTGCTTGACCTTAACATCAGTTGCTCTGGGGGACTCGGGATCGAATTCTGGAGAACAATCCCAGGAATTTTTCTGTTTAAAATGATATAACTCTATTTTGGAATAATTATTACATATATTTATATTCTTTCCAAATATTGGCAATAATTGTCAGAGTATTTAAACTTTTCAAACATTATTAATACAAAATGTACCAGCAGTGCAATATTTTCAAAATGAAGCAAGCATTAATCGAAATCCAAGCTTAAACGAACAGTTATTTACTATGACATTGCCACAATGTCGGGCTGACATTTTTCGTTACAATGCTCGCAATTTTAGTAGTGTCTTGCTCCTATACTGTACATCACGCTTTTCCTGATAACAGTAGTCATAAATTTTCCATATCTGGTCTCGACTTTCATTTATCTAACTCCGTTCTCGAGATTAAAGAAAGATAATGGGAATTTATAGGTCTGCAATTTTTTAAGATTTCAACCCAATAAAAAGAAGAAAAAAGAAGTAAAGAAATTTGCAATGTTTGAAGTTCTTGTTAAAGCTGTACAAAAATGGTAAACTTCAACATGGCGTCCCGACTTTCTCAAGCATAAAATGAAATCCCGAAGCCTTCTTAAAAGCTAAAGAGTGCTTAAATAACGCAAATAGTATTTAATTTATATTTTTGGTTAAAAGTAGTATTATAATATATATATTTTTTTATTTATGCAGTGTATTATTTACAAAATGCGACAACTAGTTCGGGACAGAGGTAGCACCATATATGAGATATACTTATTTCTATTTCATGCAAATTTTGTGCAGTAAAGTGATTGCATCTCTAAGGTTAGCTTGTAATTTAATTATAATTATTTCATTATAGATTGGGCAAGTAAAAAATATTTTAAAGAAGAAAACTCGATCTAATGTAGATAAATTCATCTCCAGAATTTAATAAAAGAAAAAAATTATTAATGGTAATGTATAAGCGATGTGATATTGTTGCAATTTAGATGCCAAAGGTGACGAAAACCATAGAAAAGGGTGTGCCCGAATGGCAACAACAATGTAGTACCCGGAGACACGTGGGTGGAAGGCACGTTTAGGGGGTATGAACTCTAGAAGAAGAAATGACATTCACATAGAAGAACAATAAACAATTTTATCTGCATACAAAAATTTCGGTTTGTACTCAAGAAAGAATTTTATAATCTTTATGGAAATGACAACGGTAAAACCATAAATAAATAAAATAAAATAATAAACGTAAAACTACATATTGATAAATGAATTGAAAAGTTAATCGTAAATTAAAAAATAATAATAATAATAAATTATTATTTTAATTTATGGTTGTTTTTTTTTCTTTTAAAAGTCATTTGTCATGTCCAGTTTAGAGTGAAAAAATAAATGAATGTTTTCTTTTACACAGGATATAAGGTTAAATAAAATAAAATAAAGGACTAATACCCTTCCACATACACATTAAGAATAAAATAAATACATTTNAATTACTTTAAAAAAATTAATTATATAAAGAAAATAAATATAGATGTAGCGTTAAATCATTCAAAGTAATTTAACACATAATGTCATAGAAGACTTGGTAGAAATTGTCTGTATGAAAGTAAGCACTCAATCAGTCAATTTTCATCTAGTACTGTCCACATGACACACCACTAAACTTCAATGTAGAGATCCCTGTAAACTGAAACATGACAACCAATAGCAAGAATTATAACTTCGGCAAATCCTCTCATTTTCAGCTCTTAGTGATTTCTTTAGACATGATAGTAGCAAGTGGAAACTCTAGATTATAGGATCAATTCGCCTTAAAACGTCTCCTGTACTTTAATGACATGGGGTTAGATTTACGACCCAAGGATGACTGGACCATCAATCGACGAAGCAGTCTTAATGTTCTTGAGAAATGTGATACAGACTAAACTTACTACAATTTTTTGGAAGAGTTACTCGGCATTGATTCTGTAGTAAACATCTCAAAATTCTATTCATTTAAATTTTGTTACTGTTTTGTTTACACAATTTCAAATGAATTCAAGCTACTGAATGCATTTAATTATTATTATATAATACATTTTTATATTTAATTTTTAATACATTATCGATCAAATAAGAAAATATTTATCTCAGCGTAATATTTTTAGGATGAAGGCATTTTTAGATGAAGGCTTAGAAAGAAAGTAAAGAAATTAATAAAAATCAGCTTATTCAATAAACTCGAGAAAATAATTAAAGTTTAATAATATTAACGGGCGTAATTCAGAATAATGGAAAGAAAATCCAGGAATAAAAGCGCGGATAAGCGTGAGATAAACCTTTGCGATAAACAAGACATTGTGTCTATGATAATATAAAGACGTCTGTTAGATACTATGCTTATATTTTAGTGTAAACTGACTAAAATATAATTCATTTCATACATTAAAAGACAAATTTACGATTTTCAAACAACAGTCTATGATATTAAATTTTCAAACAATATAAATTAATGGCCAGTTTACTTTTAATTACAATAATTTTAAAATTTTGGAGCTTTTTTTAAACGTTTATCAATGTAGGAATACGATTTAATACCCAAGTTTATATGTAATTTATTTAAAATTTTGGAGCTTTTTTTAAACGTTTATCAATGTAGGAATACGATTTAATACCCAAGTTTATATGTAATTTATTTATAATAAACAATTTTACATTGTACGACTGTTTATTTTAATATTATGTGTGGCGCCATCTAGGTTACGTAAAAGTAATTAAATTTGAATTGTAATCGAAGATTTTATAAAAAAACGTGGCAATACATGTCGAATGTAAAGTAAAGGATCGTGTAATATAGCTTACAAGTAAGTTAAAGTGTAATATATTAAGAATTTAGCTTAAGAACCGATTTAATGTGCAATTTATTTATTTATTTACTTATTTATTCTGTTGCTTTGAAAGGAAAGTTACAACTTATCAAGATGACAGTCCATATATCATCCACTAAAAGTAAACAACTTCAGTTGTTGCAAAGATCACAGGAAAGAGCAAATTGTTGTCTTAAACAAAGAGAATATGGCAGAGCATTGGCTCATATGTTGATCATTCTTAAAATTAATCCAAGTTTAAAAGATGATTTGAAATCTGATTTTGTTTTTGCTGTAGGTAAGAATAATAAAGTTTACATACTCAAATAATATATTTAAATGGGACACTGTTTATTTTAGTCTAATCAATATCATATTAGTTGATATTGATTAATGCATCAATTTATTGATTGATCAATAAAATTGCAAATGAAGGCTTGAATAAATAATGCAAAAGATTTAATGTTAAAATAATAATAAATTTGTCCACTGTGAGATGCTCTTGTATTTTTAATTGTTGTATGCGTTCAGATGCAACTTTTGGATTAATAAAATGGCAATAAAACAAATGATTTTCTTATATTATTTACTAGCTGATGAGTCCAGCATTGCTCAGGCAAAAATTAATGATAGCGAAGATTAAGATTGTTAGATTATGGCCGATCTTATTGCAAAAATTAGGTCTCCCCTCTTCCGAGGCTAATTAGAGAATTTTTAGATAGGTCTAAAAATATGTTTGATTTCCGCAAAAACGCAAAAAACTACATCTAAAATAATAGAATAGAAGCCAAGTTCTTCAGGATAATTCTTAACCTTCCTTCTCCCCTGCAGGAGAGTTTTGAAAAATCCCTTCATGATGTATCCTAACTGTGCACCAAATTTCAACTTTCAACTCCTAACAGTTTGGGCTCTTATTATTATTATCATCATCATTATCAATCCATCTCAATTATATTATAAGATTGAGTAAATCAAAGAAGAAGGAATTTTGTAAAAATTAAATATTTTACAAAATTCCTTCTTACGTTTGTATAGCTGTCTATAACAACTCTAATAATAAAATTTATAAATTAAAATTTTAAATGATAATATATTGGGTAACTTTGCAAAAACATAATCAATTTAAATAGTTTATTAACAATTCTAAAACAAATTTACTGAAAACAAAAATTAATATAAAATTTAAAAGCATTCTATAATAACATTTCATGAAAGCATTAAAATTATATTGAAATTTGCTGTTCAAATTATATGATTTGCAGTTTATAAAACATTTAATGTCAATATGAGCTGCATGTAGTTTTTGATTTCATTCAAGATTTTTTTTGGTAATGATAAAAATTTTATCAGTTGTTTTCATCATTATTCAATACTGAATTTATGAAGCTAAATCATATTCTTATATCAACAGACTAGCTTCATTATTGATCAATGTCTCAAACTCTATGTACTAAATTTTACTTTTTATACTTTTTAAAAATTTTAAATGAAATTATTTATTCTATCAAGTAAAATAGACTGTTATTTGTGCCGTTATATTTCTTGCTTATGTTACTTGCAATAGCAAAGCTGTGGAAGCAATGCTTCTCTTGTATTTTCTAAAATATAAATACATATTGCGTGATTATTTTCATATTTTAATGTACTTTGAATTAATTAAAATTAATATTTTATTATAATCACATTATGTATCTTATTACAAATTTCTATACTACATGTGAAAAAAAAAAGATAAGATTGCTATTGAATATTTGAATATAAATTCGTATATGCATATTCCCAATAGAAGCACTGTACTGTTGAATATGGGACAGCTTCCATGGCCAAAATATTTGAATTGTGTAAAACAACCAGATTACAGGCATTTGCGCATGCGCTTTACAGAGCACCAACCTCATGCAGTTTAGTTCGTGGATGCTACAAACCAAAATATCATATAACGCTTCCAATGATTCTATCTGGGACCAGCACAGCTTCCCTATCATCAAATGTCACTACACGCCACTGGTTACTTGTATTAGAGGTTAGGTATTAAACATGATTAAATTTTAATAATTTTGTTTTTTTATGTTAACTTACTTGAGGTTTTTTTCAGAATATAGACTATAAAAGTGATTTAATAATTGAAATTTACCTCTTCTATTTATAAAATATAAAATAACATTTTTTGCAGTTAAGAATTATAAAATTTTATTTTAATTAATTAAAACTAATTTTAATTACTGCTATGGATATTTTAAATGTTTATCTATGTTATAATTTTTAATTTATTTATCCATATTGCACAATGAAGACTGGTACCTTCAATAGACACCAGACTTTACTTTACATCCATCTTTATTTTTCTGTTTAGGTGCTGATATGTGTTTCAGGCTCTTGCCCCTCTTATGTTGGATAAACATAGATAAAAGACACAGAAAATTCACACATAGATAAAAGACACAGAAGAAAATTCACACAAATTTGAAATGGCTATTTACATCCATTTTAATTTATTAATAAAAAAAAAAAACTATATCTAAAAACACTATCTTTATTAGAGATCATGCATATACACTTCAATCTCAATAATCCAGCCGTTTGCGAATCCAGCGTTTGTTAATCTCAGTCAATTATTTGCACTGTTGCCAAATCATAGGCAATCTAACCCACTATTTAAAACACAAGTTCCTACTAAATTTGAACAATTTTCCACTAAATGTGGCATGTCATTGAGCTTGAGCTTGGCTCGATATTAAAGATTGTTAGACTCATCATCTTAGGCTGCTACAGTATTTTTAACACAATATTATACAAATATAAAAATCAATTTCCCAAAAATTATGTACTTCTCACTAAAATTTACCACAAACTTTCAATTTTCCATTAAATTTAATAGAAATTTAGCAACATGATTACTGGTTACAGCAGTACGCTTAGATGTTTATTATGCATTTTATTTTATGTATTATTAATTTTTATTCATTTATTTTACCCAACTTGTATTAAATAAGAATATTTATAGGAAGATTAGCTCTATGAAATACAGTTGCTCATGCAATTACTGATATTATAACATTTATTTTACATGGATACAATGCTTTTTTGCATAAGAAATAAACAAACCAAGAGCCCAAACAATTGCAGCATACCTATCAGCAAACTTGTTTATTACCTCTACTTTTAAGAGTGAGAACAATAGGCATTCAGAGACCAGATAATCCAGACAATGGTATGACAATAATTCTAAGAGTCTTCCACCTTTGCCAGAAAAAATCTCTCAGCTCACAGAAATAGGATTCCAGTTTTATAGATGGGAACAATGCTTGATAGTCACATATTGTGAAATATGCCATCGATGACTCATTAAGATTCCGTAATTTTTGAAGTACTTGTTCAGGATTAGTGACAGTGTACGTATGATCCTCTAGATTGTTAGTGATGTATTTGTTAAGAAGGCTCTCCATTTTAATAGTGGGAGAAGTAGTTTTATCCACCACCACCCATAACTGTTGTCCATTCTTATGGATTTTTGCAAATGCAAATATGCGAGGTACAGATGGTGCCATAACCCTCATTGCCATCAGATTCAAAGTATTAGTGAGAGGAGTGTTGGAATGTTCAATGTCTTTGCAGATATTTTCTCAAGGAAACCGCAAGGTGCTATTGTGCATTCCATGTCTGAGATATATTGTGTTATGGCATTTCGGTATGATTCCTTATTCATGAGCACTACATGTTTTGATTTATCTGCTCTTAAGGCAACAATATAATTATCTCTCAACCATTTTCTAGATGCCCTGACAGCTGGCCAGACATTTCTGGATGAAATATTCTCGTGTCTATTGCACATTGTTATTAAAGTTTTCCATCTGAAATATTCCTTAGTAGTGTGGTCCAGTCCTTCTATCAGTTTTTTGATGTCAGGAATAGTTCTGACATTATTAGACAGAGGTGGCAGAGAATAAGATGGTCCATGTTTGAAGACATTTAAGAGTTTCTCTAGTGGTTGTATATTATCACAACATATCATGGCATGTGGTCATTGGATGTCACTCTCAATTTTCCGAGAACTCGTAGTCCATCTCAATTTGTTTTCATGTTTATCCTGAAGTTTTTCTTCAGAGTTTTTGCCCATCAGGTAATTTTTGCATTGGTGGCAATTAAGACATCAGGGTTCTGTTGGTACAAGGTATTTTCCCAATGTATAATCTCCGAGTAGTGAATATTATTGTCTTCTGGCCAATCTAATAACTTTTCTCAGACATAAATTCCTTATTATAGTGTTCAAAATATGACACTCAGGAGGGAGTCTAATGTAGTAGAATGATAGATGGAATACTTTCAGATCTCTGCACTTACAAAGAAAGTTTAATTTAGCTGATGTTCTGCAAAGTTTTAGAACAGATTTACAATAGGACTTTGCTGGCAAAGCCATCTTCAATATATTTTAAAAAACTGGTTACTTATTTATATACCACTCACCAAATTACCATCACCAGTTCATAACCAGACAGAAAAATTCTTGCTATGAACATTTTCATCTATATGTAATAGACATCCTCATATATTGACAATATCGAACTAATGGCTAGTAGAAAAGAATGTTTTTAAAAGTTCTGATTAATTATGTAATTTGAATATGTTGCATTAAAATTTAAAATATGTAAAATATTTGAAACATATCCGAATAAATCAATCTAGAGGATGATACGTACACTGTCACTAATCCTGAACAAGTACTTCAAAAATTACAGGATCTTAAGTCATTGATGGCATATTTCACAATATGTGACTACAGACAATAATTTTATTAGTGTTTACAGGACAAACATTGGAAACTAAAAATGAGTTTTGTTTAGTATTTAATATTATTAGATCTATAAAATATGATTATTAGAATATTTAAATTTTATAAAAAATATTGTACNATTTGGCGAACATGTGCTCTTAACATTACAACATGCATGGCAGAATTTACTTTTACCTCCAAATCCATTATTCAGAACAACGAATATTTATAGAAATTTTAGTAAAAAAGAATTAAATGAACAAGAAGTTTTAAAACATAATGATAGTGTAACAGTTATGAAAGAAAATTTACTTGAAGTTACAAATGACAAATTAAAAGCAGGAATACCTGTATCATCTGAAAATCAACCTTCTACTAGTCTTCCAATGTTTGCACAATCAGATTTTAATGATACAAAGAAAGAAACTGATCAAGAATTAACAAGTTGCACAAATTTTAATCAAGTTAATAAATTTGGTAAAGTTATTCCTCATGCAGCAAGGATTTGGATTTCATTAATAGAATGCAGTTGGATAAGGAAATGTTCTTTGTAAGTCATCTATTACCAGATTATTTTAATTGTACCGTATTTACTCGTGTTTAAGACGATCTTGCATATAGGACAAGGTGTGACTTTAGAGATCAAAATAAAGAAAATTAGGTTTATTAACACAATTCTAATTTTATTTAATTTAATCACAAAATATTATCAAATGCACGTATTACGGCAAACAACCATGTTTGCCTTAATACATGATGAATGGAAAACAAAACCAAAACATTATAGTGCACGTGACCAGAAAAAGTTTATTTTTAATGATTCAGAATGTGCTAATATTCATTAAAAATAACAATTTAACTAATATAAAATAACTATATTTATAATCATTGCTAATTCACCTGTATTTCATTAATGTTTTTATAAATAATGAGAAACTATTTTCTGTGAACAAATGAGATGCAACATGGTTTTTAATTGATGGATGTAGGATTAAACCAATAAACAAAGGGATGTCTGTTTTAATTTGTTTACAGTAGGTGCTAACTTATGATAAATAGACTGTAGACCTGTAATGACAGCATGACGTATACACGGTTCACAGAAATTATTGCAAAAACGCAAAGAATCCTTCGTTTGTGCATATAGGATGACTTAGGTTTTTGAAGCAGTGAAAAATGAATAAAAACCTCATTTTATATGCGAGTAAATATGGTAATTAGTATACAATGAAACTATTTTATAATTAATTTATATTGTTTGTTAAATTTAACAAGACAATAAAAATTTTATAATATAATGAAATAAATAATAATGTTTAAAATGATAATGGTGATAAAATTGTTATTTTAATTATTAGACGTTAATATGTAACAGGTTAAAAAATTAATACATTATTTAAATGAAATATTTTCTTAAAGTTTTTTCTTGTATAACTGATCAATGTTTTTATATTTTATTTACTTTGTGATGAATGAAACATTTGTATTCAAATATATCTGTACTAATTTTTTTGAAGGATGAATATTGGATTTTCTTAAAATACAGTAAAACTTCACTAACTCAAAGCTGCAAGGGGCAGGAAAAAACTTTGAGTTGGGAACAATAGAGTATAAAATGCTGATTCTGAATAGATTTGTACTTTCTCCTCTCTTGCATTATATAAAGAATTTTTTATAGATTTTTTTTTGTTTTAAACAGCCCATGTAACACCTTTCAGCAAAATGTTCAATGTAACTAATGGAATTGAAAAGTTTTGCAGGTACATCTTGTTGAGATAAAATGAGAGGACCTCTCACTTTGGATTGGAACATTGTCTGAAAATTAGTGTTGGAGAGTAGATACAAGTAACTGTCTGAAAATTTCATGAAATCTAATAATTAGGATCACTTTGGATAGAATAAATATTAAAATTCAAGTTTGGGAAGTTGAAAGTAACATAAATTAGTGTTGGGACTGTGAAAAATTTTGACTTGGAGAAAATCTGAGTTAAGAAATTCAAGTTGGAGACATTAAATCCCTATACTATTCCATTGAAACCTACCAAATGCTTTGTTTTGTTTGAGTTAAAGAAATGTTCAAGTTACAGATGTTTAAGTTAGTGAAATTTTACTGTAATATGTTTAAAAGAATTATTCATAAAATTGAAAAATATTAAATGATTATTATTTTTAAAATTTAAGTGATAATTAAATATAAAAAAATGAATTATATAATTTTCTATTTAGGGTTCAACAAATTAAATTAGTTCCTATAGATTTTGGTGAAATGATTATTTCATCAGAAGATAATCCTGAAGAACCTTACACAACTGAAAATTTAACAAGTATTCCTGAAGGTTATAAACTTCTCACTGACCCTGCTGTATTGCTGGATATTAATTTTAACAATCCTCAGGTGAATAAATAATAATTATAGATATGTAAAATGTTTAGTTTTATTAAATCATTTTGTCATAATTCCTTTTAAATAATTTTTATTTTAGATAATATAAATTCATTATTAAATGTGTAAAGTTAATGATTGAATTTTTGTTAGCTTTACATTGTATTTGAAAAAATATGGGTGTTTCACTGTATAGTTACAATAAAATGAATGTGCTTCATTTGAAAGTGAAAAATGTTTTTTACAGCAGTAAGTGGATGCTAAAAGTAATTAGTGGATAACATGTTTGTTATGTTGGTTATCTGCTTTATTATCGATGAGAAAATTCAGTGCAGGATCCATGCAATATCAAGCATTCATTGTCTCACTACTTTCATCTGAATGTCTTTCACTTCCTTATCAACATTTTTGATTTACAGTGCCATCTTGTTTGTCTTTTGAGAGTTATTCCACACAAAAGTTGTAACTACCAGTGAAACTCCTGTATATATATTAAACTATTTTTAAAAAGTTAAATAGCAGAATCAGAATTTAATTTGTTTGCTATTATCTGATCTTGTAAAAAATTATAATTATTAATCAATCTGTTATTGTCTACAATCCTTTGGAGCCTGTTGCAGATATTTTAATAAGATAAATGATTTTGTTTTATAACAAAAGTCATTGATTATTACATTTAAAAATCCAGGGCACTAAAGTTCATTAAGAACACTAACATATATTATTCAATATTTTTACTTTTCCAAATGGCATTATCACTTCTAAACATAATATATTTATTTTTACAGTTTTTATATTTTCCAATCTCTAGTGGACATTGCATCTTTTTTTATAATTTACTGAGGTTTATAGCCTCAAATAAAAGGTTGAACCTCAGTGTATTTTTAGATTCATTCATGATGTGAAAAAGAATAAATGAAGAATTGTTTGGATGGTCTACATCAGTGATTCTCAAACTTTTTCGATCCACCGCCCCCTTTGTTCCATAAAGTTATACCCAACACAACCCAACCCATTTTCTCTTGTGTGAGAAAAGGATTGGAAATATTCTTAGGAAAACTTTTCTATGAATCTCACACTTTGTGCTTTGTGCCCTTACTGTACATTGTTCTCATCATCTGGAAACCATTAAACGCAATGTTTCCTCTTATCAGCCCCAATTTTGCCTTTGGTCANTTGACTAGAAAAATATATATAATAGAAATTTGATAGAAAAATATTCCTCTGAGTTTTCTAAGAAGAATAGTTTGGAAGAAAAACCTGAGATATGGATGGTTTGATGCAGTCTGTGTAAAAAGTGTTTTTGAGCCACCCATAAATAATGTAATTGCTAGAAATTACACATTACTAACTCCTTCTTTACCATCCCATGGCATTCATTATCAAATTATGACAAAGTTAATCTCATAAATGATGTAACATTAGTTGTCATCTCCCAACAAAGTTTTTGCATTATTATGATATAAATATATTGTGTCAGTTATGTAATAAATATTAAAATAAAATGATATATTTACACTTTTATCAGAATAAAACACTACATGACAATAACATTACATTAATAAAAGTTTTATTTTCACTATACTTTGCTAGAAACTTATTTCACTCCTATAACTTGTAAGGTGATTTTCAATTGAAACAAAGTGAATGTTAGAGGCATGTGTCCATAGGAATGTTTTGGTCTGATCATGTCTAATCATAAACATCTATCCACTCAACACCTTCTGTATTGCATTCTTGAATAAAGCATTCCAAACAAATTCAAAAGTTGTTTCCCTCAATCCATGAAAGACATTGCATTCAACAGATTTAGAGAACATCATTTAGAATTGCTTCTCTATATTTCCTTCTTTGGTAATATTCTGAAAATAAATTCAATTTTTCAAAATAATTCAATAAACATTTTTAAGAAGTCTAAAACAGTAAATAACTGCTTAACTTGTAAATACAGTATTCTGTGCTTGGTCTAGTTCTACACCCTGAAGGATATCAAGGTTTTATGTATATCAAAAATAACATTGTTTATCTCAACAATCTTACGGCACTCATAGATAATCAATATAATTGACAAGTTTTCAATATTTGAATATTGATACAAATATTGAAGAGATTCAATATTGTCAATATGTGACTGCTTAGACACTCAAGTCAAAACATTGTCAGTTTTATGTTCCAGTTAATGTTTTGAGTGAATGAGATTTTGATCTGTTTTCAGTGCACTGGAATACAGATTAGTGTGCATACACTTGTGGCTATCATTCCTGTGTGGCATGATGAGAGCATGCAGATGTTCACTCCATCAGAAACAAAATATTGAAAACTTGCTGGACTGACTTGATAATAAATGCACCTAGACAATCAAGCCATGTCTTTTAACTCACAAGGTGTCACAAGTTAAAAGACATGGCTTGCGCCTTCTAAAAGGACATTAAAAATATAAGAATCATTGTTTTTGATTATTTTGTATTTTCATAACAAAGAGAATATTTAAAATTTTTTAACATGAAAATTATTTAAAAGAAAACAAATTAAACATCAACATTAAATTTTATTTAACATAAAGTATGAAATATTGTGAACTTTTAATCATTTTAATCATTAAAAACTTTAACCTTCATATATTCGTGCAGTTACAAAAGAATTCCACCCTGGTTTCATCATTTGACCACAAATCATATAACAAGTTCAGGTGCAAAACTCTAAGAATTCCAACCATGTAGAGAAGATCAATAAAAGCCTCCATTTTACTCCTTGACGTATCACATGCATCTCTTTCCTGGGTATAGTTTGAACATATTTTTTGTATATGTTGATTTGTATACTTCACAATGTCATCCAAAATTTCATTTATAAAAAATAGCCTCCAGGCAGCAACAGGTGAATTCACTTCTTTCTGTGCTTTCACATCTGGAAAGCATATAACTAAATTGTGATTAGCTGTTCATCTATTACATGGAAGCCAGTGAATTCCCTATTTAGTTTGACCAAGACAAAACCTTTCTCACTTGTTTCTAGCCATTTATACACGAGTACGAACGTTTTTGGCCTTCTTAATAGGCCTTCTTCAGATACACTGTGGTCTGTTAGAGCGTCGGTTGGTGACCAGTGACATCATCGTTGATGATAAGGTTTAGACGATAGGTTTAGATCGTCTAAACCTTATCATCAACGATGACGTCACTATTAAGACAATACCTATGTAAACATTGACACCATTTAAATGATGTCAATTAGAAGAATATTTAGTTTGTCCATTCCTTTCTGTATATTCAGGCTTTATTCCAACTTGTGCGTCATCATCTCCCGACTGCTCTGAAACTGTGTCCTGTTCCTGTTTATCTACATTATCTTCAACCTCATCATTGGAAAATAACTCATCAACTGCTTCAATAGTGGGTTCAAATGTCTTTGAATTGCACCTAGATTTTCTTTTCTTTCTTCTTCTCTATTCTTCTCTTCTTTCACAATTTCTGATAATCTCAAAATTCTTTCTTCTTTTCTATCCATTTAGCTGTTTAGCCATTTAGCCATTTTAGCTAAATGGCTAGAAATGACTAAAATTGCTAAAAACTAAAAATATATAAGTAATATTAATATAACATAATAACAAAATGTTAAGTTTACTGTGAAACAAGCATATGCAATAGGTTGCACACAGTTGAAAATACCATGTGTTAACAAAAAGCCGTTTTCTTAATAATAAAAAAAATGACAGTTACAAAAATGGCACAAAAGTCAGTGGACAAGTCTATAGAAAGGTACTGTAAGGGTGAATGTGTACACTATTCAGGTTTATGAAAGCAACAACAAAAAAATAAATAAATATGGTCGGAAAGATCAACACATTCCATGACGGCTTAATTGTCCATAGCTTGCAATATTTAGGATTTGTTAATTATGCTGAACATTCACAAGTGCTTTTAATAACAAAGACAACCTATGTTTTCATAGCAATAGCACAACTCTCTCACTGTAATGCACTTATGCCAATGTTTTTTCAATCCTTGAAATATTCTTTAAAGTTGTTTTCATGAAACCCCTTCAAATTTTGTTTTATGGCATCAATTGACTCAAACAGGTGACCGTGAAAGATAAATTTTAATCAAGGAAATAGGGGAAAAAATTACATGGTGCCATATCATATGAATACAGAGCTTGTGGAACCATATTTGTTGAATTTTTGCCCAAAAATTCACAGACAACAAGAGCATTGTAAGCAGGTACATTATTATGATGCAAAATTTATGAGTTTTCTTGCCACAAATCAGGTCATTTTCTATGAATTACTTCACATAAATGATACAAAATGCTCAAATAATATTCTTTGTTGACAATTTGGCTAGTTGGAAGGAATTTATGATGCACATCACCATGAAAATCAAAGAAAATAGTTGACACAACCTTGATTTTTGACTGACTTTGATGCACTCGCTTCAGTCTTGCTTCACTTTTCAAGTGCTGTTCACTTGATTGTTGAGCTATTTTGGTGCAAAAACATAGATCCATGTTTCATTACTCATAATGAAGCATTTTAAGAATGATTTGCCTTGAGAATGCATTTTCTCAGTCACTTGAACATTGTTGTTTTTGGAAAATATTTAATGTTTTTCAGACAACTTGATATGCTCTGCATGCCCAAATGATCTTTTAAAATTGCTTGACAGGATCCAACTGATGCTGGAAACATGTTCAATAATGTCACCAGTTGTTAAATGATGATCATTGAGCACCAAATCTCAGACTCAAGTAATGGATTTTTCATCAGTTGAAGTGTTGGTCTTCTAGGGTGTGGTTTATCTTCAACACATTCTCTGCCTTTCTTGAACATCTCATACCACTCAAAAATTCTTGTTTCTGATAGACTATTGTCTCAAAACTTTTTGCAACATTTCCAGTGTTTATGTAGCAATATTTCTGTTGCAAAAACAAACTTTAATGCACATTCTTTGCTCGATTACACTCAACATTTTGAAAAATTGCCAACAGAAAAATTCTTTACACACAAAACAAGTGTTTATTTGCAAAGGCAGACAATGACATACAGATTGATGCTAGATGTTGAAGAAAGATATACTAAACAATGAAGAAAATGACAGCAGCATACTCACATGCGTGCAGCTTAATTGAACAATTCCTGATACTTTTCAATCACAGTCATATTTTAAACATGACACATTGCATAAAAGAAGCAGATATGGCACTTATTAATGGTAAATGTGAAATGAGATATCATGAGGTATCCCCCCTTATCACATACTGTCATATTCTGAACTACACATAAGGCATGACAATATTTATGGACTGCCTGTTTATATAAATTTTTGATTCTATGATTTTCAATTAAAATCATTAATATAATTTGAAAGTACTTTAAAAGTACAAAATTTAATTTTTAATAATAATTAAATAATTATTGAAAGTTGTTTGTTGTCATTTATCTAATTTAAAACTAACTGATAATGTATACAGTTTTTGATACATTTTTTTTTATTGTTGTGCATGCAGATTTTTTTTGACAAATTCTTATGCTTGCAAATTGTTTATACAAATCTCTTTCTATTAGAATTATCATCATTGTTATTTCATTTTGATTGAAGCTTCCATAAAATGATTGCTTCTACATGAACATAGTCTAATAGCATTACATTATAAATACAGTTTACAAAAGGATCCTTAGAAATGGTTATTTTCATATTTTCTTACTGTTTTTAAATTAGACAATGATGAGAAATAGCTTTTTCAAAATGAAAAAAATAAATAAATGACCAACTTGAGAAGAATTTACAAAATTTGAAAAACTATTTCAATAATTATATGTCATTAAAAATTTCTTATTTTAAAAGTTTATATAAGTAAGATTTTATAATTTTCTATTAAAAGCTATGAATAAAACACACATGCACACAAATAAAAATTCATTAAAATGTTATTAAAATCTTTACCAATAAAAACTATCTATAGCTATTACTCTACTGTACTTTGAGTAAAACTTCAATTATTCAATGATGTCAGTACCAGGAATCTGACAGATAAACAATAAACAAGACTGTTAATGGAAATTTTTAAAAATTATTTATACAGTTTTAAAGATGTGCATATAATATGTATTTTCAACATATACTATATGACACTTGTTTTGTTTTAAATTGTATCTGTATATATTATCTAACTCAAGTTTAAACACATGTTTAAATTTATTTTGTAAAATAATGAATAATCTGTTTTTTGTTTCAATGAATTCCTAGTCTTTACAAAGTAAATATTGTATATTTTATGTAATAGTAACATTTGTGATACCTCTATTTCTTCCTGCATTTCAAATCATTAGATGCTGTTTGATAACATAATTTCAACTTCATTGTGAGTAATTATGGTTATGCATTTATTGTCAGTTTCTGTTCACTTTTGCATTCATCCACAGTTATTGCACTTTACACTAATCTTCATTGCTTTTAAGTAATAAAGAATAATGAGGAATAAGCTTTAGCTGCTTTATTATAATATGGTTTCTCAGACATAACACATTCCAGTGTCATGACAGTTAATAGAAACTGATGAATAATCAAGTAACAAATAAAAGAACTTTTACTGTATATACTTATTGATAAATATAATTTAAAAATAGTCTCTTGTTTTGTAACTTTACATATGATATGAGAAATATTGAGTGCTTGATAAAATTCTTTAGATGATTAATAACTGTTTTTTATAGAGAATTTCAAGATATAAATGATAATCTATGAGGACTTGATTTATTGACGTACTTGAACTCATTGATAGTTTTAATGACTGAAGTAAGAAATTTTCATACTAACAAGTAATAAATTTGTAAAATGATACTTTGTGTTTTTCAGTTTCTTAATATTGTTGAATGATAAGTAAAGTATTTCAAGGTACTTGCATAAATTATATAACATATTCAAATTAAAGCATACATCAAACAGAGATCAAAGCAATAGCGTTTGAAGTTTATAACATTGTAATTATTTAAAATAAAGTAATGTACTTACTTTATTTTAAAGTAAGTGCATTAATAATAGTTTAACTCAGAATTATGAAACGTTTTTTGAACAATATTTACAGGATTGCATAATAGAAGGTTTAAGCTATAATCTTGAAACATTATTACAAAGTTATTAGCATTTAAATTATGTAAATTTAAATATTAAATTTAATATAAATGTGTAAGTTATATATAGTAATATATATAACCAGATTTATTAAAATAACCAAATGATCTGCCAGATATATAAGTAATAAAAATTTATTATTGAAATTATTTATTCAGTCTAATTTTTTACTTTTGTTGGTTTTCAAATGGCATATACATAATACTCATTCTTTGTCCTATTTTAATATAAGAATATGAATTTAATATATTTAACTGAAAGCATGGATACATCATTTAATATTCTACTTTTGCTTTTTTAAGGACTACACAAAAATTAAATCAGCTTTAATGGAATATTTAAATTTTAAAATAAGCTTTATAGAAATTTTATTATTTTTCTTACAGATGAAGATGAATGATTTTAAAATATCTTTATGTAATATGAAATTGAAATATAGAATAAGCCTCTAGTTTTAAATTTATTATGTTCATTTTTACAGATGAAAACTTTCTCTTTTAGAAATTTAAATATGTTTATTAATATAATTTATAAATTATCATTATATGGTGATTGTATTAATGGTATATTTTTAAATATAATATTCATTTTTAATAATTTAAATTTTTATTGAAATGTATAATATTATTATATCAATTAGTTTTTATACTTTCTCATTGTTACGGCTAACTGGAATCTTAGCCAGGTACAAGTTCAAATGGTGAGTCCGTACCCCAAGGTTCCAATCTATTCTGGGGTATACGTTCGTTCTTCTTGCTTCTTGCACTCGTCGACGTCCTCACAACCAGAGACCAAGCCAAAGAGTGACTGACCCTGCGGTTCCTCTCATATCGCGCAGGGTTATTCTCCCAACGACTTCCGTTTTCGCGGTTAGGGGTCTTCCGCCTTAGGGGCGTTTAGTTATAATCCAACGAACAATAGCTTCGCGCCACTGGCAACTCGACCAATCACATGTATGGTACAAAGTGTTCGTTACACTCATTTTCTGATAAGTAATTGAATATATTTTGGAATCAAAATTTTGAAATGTTTTTGTAATTTCTTATGAATTGTTAAACTGCATTAAAAACTATTGATTTAATGATATGTTTCTTTCATAATTTCAAAATAGATTAAAGCTTTCATATATACAGTAAATTCCCACCAGTATCTTTTGCGTAAATTTAGTGTTAAATAAGATTAAAATGATCACAGAATAATTTAAATTTTGTAACATTTTAAAAAATCATTTTCAATTACTTGTTATATACTTTTACTTTTTGTTTCTTATTAGCAATATGTGTTGGATACTGTACTTAGTTTTTAAATAATTAAATTTTATTCAGAAATTGCCTTGTAAATATGTTTTAAGAAAGTTTTATAAGTTATTAAAATCAAAAAAATTTTTATACTGTAGTTAGAAGAGTAGTAAACTAAATAGAAAATAAATATTTAATCTATACAGATTCAAACTTTCTAATTACATTTGTATTATAATAATAAAATATTTTTTTTCTATTATTCTTTATTATATAGATTGGGACATATTGATGAAGCCGCTTCATATTTTCGCAAAGCTCTTAATTTAAATCCAGATTTTGCTCCAGCCAGAATTAGTTTAGAAAATATTTGTAATATAGTTATTGAAAGATGGCATTTTATAATGCTTAACGATAAAAAAAGAAATATCACTTACCAGTGTGCTATTGAAAGAGCTGTTCGGGATGGTTATAAAACAATTTTAGATATTGGAACTGGTACTGGAATTTTAAGGTTAATTGCTTTCTGTATCATTTACCTTATTAATACTCTGTGAATATTATTTCACTAGTTCTTTATAACTTTCTGTTATATTTAATTTATTAAATAAGATTTTAATTATGTAAATAAAATATATANAATATCGAAGAAAAAATATTTTCATAAAACAATGAGTGAATTAATATAAGATGATAATAGTAAATTAAAAGACTGATCTGCTTTGTTCATCTGTAAGCTAAAGTTTAAAATAAAAATAAAACTGTTTATAAATTTCCATTCATTTTATGATGTACAACTTTTGTAAATAATTAATTGCAATTGAAAGAAAAATTCATTTTCTCAAGTATTAGATCTACACTTTCAAATAATTCCATTCTAGATATTCAAAAATAACAAATAAAAAAATTTTAATTTAAGATTCTTATTGAAATATGATAAAAAGTAATAAAATAAAATAAAAACGATTGTATTATGTTTCTTTATTACAGAATATAATCATAAATCTGTCAAATTGCAAATACAACAGATGAATATAATTAAGAAAATATAATTAAGTATAACAGATATAATTAAGGAAAGTATTAATCAAAATTTTTTTTATAATACAATAAAATTCATTTAATGTATATGTTAAAGGAAACTTATGAAATCAATATCTTAAATAAACATATTACATTAAGTTTTATATATAATAAGTATGTTGTTGAGGAAATTTGTTATTTCTAACAGTCACCACTATATAATAAATAATAATAAAAATAAATTTTTAAAATGTTCTGCATAAATTAGAAAATTCATAGATATTATCTATTGATAGTAATCATCAGGATGATAAACAACACTAAATAAATTAGAGAAAATTTTGAAACCCAAATGTCTCATCATCAAAAGAATATTTGATCTGATAATGAGACATTTGGGTCTTGAAAACTGTTTTCTAATTTATTTAGCATTGTTTACCACTCTAATGATAATTTTAGAGCCAGTAATCAATAAGACAATTATCTAATAATATTGATTAATGAATAACATTGATAAAAATGTTATAACATTTTTATTTAATTTGTTTTGCATATTTTATAGTTTATATAAATTATAAACTATTCAAAACAAATTAAATAACAACACTGTATAAAGAAATGTATTAAAAATACTGATGATTGCATGGAAAAATATATTATTTTGTGATACAAACAAGAATAAAATCATATAGCAGCAATAATAGTATATCTTTCAATAGAATAAAATATAAGTAAAAAAAAAAAATACAAAGAAAATTATTTAAAAAAGATATAGATTAATACAATTTCTATTTTATACACAAAATTAAACAATTTATATTTAACCATTTTGTAATCACTTGCCACACTAAAAACAACAAACAGTTTAGAATGGTTAATGTATTGTGTAATGTCTTTACATTTTTTTAATATTTATTTTTTATATTAAAGATCAAGTTGATATATTGACTCAATATTAAAATTATTTATATAAAAATCTAAAATAATAAGAAATTTAGGCATTGACATTTTTAAATATTGAAGATATACCAGTAACTTAAACATGAAGTTCAAAGATTGTTTACCATCTAAAATTTTAAAATCTTAAAATTTTAAATCACTTAAAATTTTAAAAATATAAGCTTAGTTCAAAATCTTTTACAGAATTTTGTATTAACAAATCATCTATTTATACATGATCTGATGTCTGATAAAACAAAAATTACATTTAAAATATATTAAATTAAAAGTTAACTAGATGCTTCAAGCATTTTCAATGTTACATTTGAAAATATGGAACTGTTTTCCAAAATATTAATTGAAAAAATTTAAAAAAATCAAAGAAAATCCAAGAATAGTTTTAATTATAATTAAAACTATTCTTGGATTTTCTTTGATTTTTTTAAATTTTTTCAATTAATATTTTGGAAAACAGTTCCATATTTTCAAATGTAACATTGAAAATGCTTGAAGCATCTAGTTAACTTTTAATTTAATATATTTTAAATGTAATTTTTGTTTTATCAGACATCAGATCATGTATAAATAGATGATTTGTTAATACAAAATTCTGTAAAAGATTTTGAACTAAGCTTATATTTTTAAAGTTTTAAGTGATTTAAAATTTTAAGATTTTAAAATTTTAGATGGTAAACAATCTTTGAACTTCATGTTTAAGTTACTGGTATATCTTCAATATTTAAAAATGTCAATGCCTAAATTTCTTATTATTTTAGATTTTTATATAAATAATTTTAATATTGAGTCAATATATCAACTTGATCTTTAATATAAAAAATAAATATTAAAAAAATGTAAAGACATTACACAATACATTAACCATTCTAAACTGTTTGTTGTTTTTAGTGTGGCAAGTGATTACAAAATGGTTAAATATAAATTGTTTAATTTTGTGTATAAAATAGAAATTGTATTAATCTATATCTTTTTTAAATAATTTTCTTTGTATTTTTTTTTTTTACTTATATTTTATTCTATTGAAAGATATACTATTATTGCTGCTATATGATTTTATTCTTGTTTGTATCACAAAATAATATATTTTTCCATGCAATCATCAGTATTTTTAATACATTTCTTTATACAGTGTTGTTATTTAATTTGTTTTGAATAGTTTATAATTTATATAAACTATAAAATATGCAAAACAAATTAAATAAAAATGTTATAACATTTTTATCAATGTTATTCATTAATCAATATTATTAGATAATTGTCTTATTGATTACTGGCTCTAAAATTATCATTAGAGTGGTAAACAATGCTAAATAAATTAGAAAACAGTTTTCAAGACCCAAATGTCTCATTATCAGATCAAATATTCTTTTGATGATGAGACATTTGGGTTTCAAAATTTTCTCTAATTTATTTAGTGTTGTTTATCATCCTGATGATTACTATCAATAGATAATATCTATGAATTTTCTAATTTATGCAGAACATTTTAAAAATTTATTTTTATTATTATTTATTATATAGTGGTGACTGTTAGAAATAACAAATTTCCTCAACAACATACTTATTTTATATAAAACTTAATGTAATATGTTTATTTAAGATATTGATTTCATAAGTTTCCTTTAACATATACATTAAATGAATTTTATTGTATTATAAAAAAAATTTTGATTAATACTTTCCTTAATTATATCTGTTATACTTAATTATATTTTCTTAATTATATTCATCTGTTGTATTTGCAATTTGACAGATTTATGATTATATTCTGTAATAAAGAAACATAATACAATCGTTTTTATTTTATTTTATTACTTTTTATCATATTTCAATAAGAATCTTAAATTAAAATTTTTTTATTTGTTATTTTTGAATATCTAGAATGGAATTATTTGAAAGTGTAGATCTAATACTTGAGAAAATGAATTTTTCTTTCAATTGCAATTAATTATTTACAAAAGTTGTACATCATAAAATGAATGGAAATTTATAAACAGTTTTATTTTTATTTTAAACTTTAGCTTACAGATGAACAAAGCAGATCAGTCTTTTAATTTACTATTATCATCTTATATTAATTCACTCATTGTTTTATGAAAATATTTTTTCTTCGATATTGTTTAAAGTGTTATCATTAGTATACAAAATTTTAAAATTTAATTAATTTATAACATGAATAAAAAATATTTTTAGAATGATAAAGAGACATCTAAGTATGATTACTTAGATGTCTCTTTATCATTCTAAAAATATTTTTTATTAAAATAATTGCATGGAATATTTTTTATTAGAATAATTGCAGGAAATTTGAAGTGCCAAAAATGCTCTAAATAGTCAATCCTAAAAAAAACTGTTTTTTTTTTTTAAGCTAAGTTTAGAGTTTGGTTTTGCAAAAACATAAGCTATAAATGTTGGAATAACTTTTAGATATTAATTATACATTTTAATCATATTTAAACTTTAATTAATAAAATGAAAAAATTTATCATATTTTTATATTTTCTAAACTTTCTGACATCAGTTTTCTAAGCTTTAAATTTAAAGCTAAATTAACAAAGTTAATTATGTAACTTCTTAATTAAATTATATCTTTAATAAAATTTTCTAGAAGCTCTATATATTAGTAGTATATAAAATATTGGTCACTGTTTATAATTTATTGTGTTTATGATATATAGTGTGTGATTAGTACTGTACATATTTACAGTATAGTATATCATAAATAAAAACACTTTGTTTGTCAATAAGTTCAGTACTACATATTTACAGTTTTAAAAATTAATATTTTTTTTTATTAATGAGACCTTTTTAGGTTTTAATTTGGACCAGTTTCAATTGTTTTGTGTACTATGAGGGTGATTTTATGGGACATGAGACTCAAAATGAAAAACATGAGTTAGTGCATTATTATTAATTTTTTATTTTTCAACATATTCCCCTTGTAATTCAACACACTTGGACCAGCAGAACTGAAGTGTCATTATGCCTGTTCTGTAATGATTCAAGATCATCAAAATACTGCTCTATTGCAACAATAACCACTTCATCTGACTTAAATTTCTTTCTGAAAAGGAAAGTTTGAGCTTAGGGAACAGGAGAAAGTCACTCGGCATTAGATCTGGTGAGTAGGGTGAGTGGAGGACAACTTGGAATTGCAATTGATCCAATTTCTCTCAAACAATGTGACTCATGTGAGAAGGTTCATTATCGTGATGGAATAGCACTTTTTTTCAAGCCATTTCAGGTCTTTTTTCAGTAATTGCTGCTTTCAATTGGTCTAAAAGAGAACATAATATGGCCTGTTGATAGTTTGGCCCTTTGTAAGGTAATTGATAAGAAGTATTCCCTCTGAATCCCAAAAAGTTGTGGTCATTACTTTCCTGGATGATGGAAATAACTTGACCTTCTTTGGTGGAGGACTGCCACAATATCTCCATTCTTAAGATTGCCATTTAGATTCTAGAATATAGTAATAAAGCCAAGTTTTATCAACTGTAACAAAATGGTGCAAAAAAATCTACTCAGTCCATGTTAAACAGCTTTAAATTGTCATTGAATGTGTGCTCTTTCATG